ACAACAAGGAAGCTATGTACAAACACCCTATTAGCATAGGCAGACAAACCAGTAGGCATACGACCAAGCCGCTCGGAAGATTTTTTTCACCCGAAAGGGAACCATCGAGTTTTTTTACTTCCGGCTGGTTCTGTCTTAGGGTCCTCACGACCCCACTAGGGGGGAGTGAGCTGTAGCGGTAAATAATTCCCCAAAATTATTGACCACAGCAATCACTCATTGGATGCTGACCACCACTGTTTAAGTCGACTTGTTTAGCTGAAGGCTTCCGGTCAAGCATCCCCGCCATTTGGTACCCCGTCGTGTCACGTGCACGATCACTAGCTAGCTAAGCGTTCGTCTGACGGCTTGTTTTGGTCCTTAAATATATCACGTAGTTTGGACGATCAAATATTGGCTTTTGCTTTGTCTTTGGTACGCGAGAATAAATTAATTAGAAGTTGCTGAACGAGATATCCGTCAACCATTAAACTGGTGAGCCCAACCGCGAACTTCATCCACGATAAATCCGCAGATAACCCCGGTGAGTTCGTTCCATTTTGTATTTGTTCTTGTACCATATATTATTCGACATAATTTTCGTCATGAGTGATCTTAGTCCCAAGGTCATCCGTATCCGCTCAACTCCTAAAACCATTCAGCTCGTACCATACTGGCCAGATAATGCTGAAACGTGGTTTCTGCTAGCTGAAGCAGATTTTTGTGAGCATGGGATAACCGATCAACGTTCACAGTTACTTGCAGTTATTCACGCCCTACCGCGGGAATTCAGCAAGTACGTAACATCACAGATGTTGAGTCCCGAGGTAAGTAACTCGTACGAGTTGCTCAAAGCATCCCTCCTCAGGAGAAACGTTCTCACGGACCGACAACGTCTAGATGAATTATTTCGTAACATCGAGTTAGGAGATCAGTCAGCCGTGAGCATGCTGACAAGAATGAAACAAGTCGTCGGCCAAAGTCAGTTCGACGAAGGACTATTTAGAGAACTCTTCTTAACCAAGCTGCCACAGTCTGTACAGACCGTACTTGTGACACTTCAGGGTACTGTAATAGAGGACTTAGCTATTACTGCAGATAGGATTCTAGAAATAACTAAACGGTCAGTTCCCGAAATATGCTCGATGACTAAGCAGACTTCGAGTAAGGATCCTGCAATGATAGAGTTATGCAACTCCATCCAGCAGATGTTTAGGTCAAACATGCCTTCTAACTCCTCCGACCGTCGTCCTAAATCTCCTCAACGCAGGAACTCACGTGGTCGATCTAAGTCCAAACCACGTTCACTGAAAAACCCTGACTGGTGCTGGTACCACAACACCTATGGCCAAGAAGCGAAGTGTTGCCGTAAGCCTTGTAACTTCGGAAATGTCTCAAAGTCTGCGGGAAACTATCCCGCCGGCACGCGTTAGCGGCAACCGTCGCCGGTGGCACTAGCCGCCTACTTTACATCCATGATGTGATAAGCCAGACTCGATACTTAGTCGACACAGGCGCCGAAGTCAGCGTCCTTCCTGCTACAGCAGCAGATCGACAGAAGGAACCTACCTTCAACTTACAGGCTGCAAATGGAAAACCAATCGCAACCTTTGGTAGGAAATACGTCTATCTGAACGTAGGTTTACGCAAACCTATTCGATGGATTTTCCTTCTCGCTGACGTTACAATGCCCATCATTGGCACGGACCTACTTAATCATCATGATTTACTCGTAGACGTCCGCCGAAAACGACTGATTGACAATACTACTAGTCTGTCTATCAAAGGCATCAGCTACATAGGCCCTAGTTTGTCACCCGTTAAGATAAAGGCAATTCTTGATCCAACTTTTCAACCTATGGTTGACAAGTATCCGGAACTTAACTGCCCGTCGAACGACCTACCGTGCATAACCAGCAATGTTATGCACCACATCATTACCACAGGACAACCTGTGACATCTAAAGCACGACGATTAGCTCCTGACAAACTGAGAATCGCCAGGAATGAATTTGACCATATGCTTACCCTTGGCATCATTCGACCTTCGAATAGCCCATGGGCATCCCCACTTCATATGGTTCCGAAAAAGGATAGCAATGATTGGCGACCCACCGGTGATTACCGGAGAGTGAATGCCAAAACAACCCCTGATTGCTACCCGTTGCCTCATATACACGACTTGACGGCAACCTTATCCGGCGCGACTATATTCTCTAAAATCGACTTGGTTAAAGCGTATAACCAAATCCCGATGGCAACAGAAGATATCCCGAAAACGGCTATCATTACGCCTTTCGGACTTTTTGAATTTCTACGTATGCCATTCGGTCTCCGGAATGCAGCCCAAACATTCCAACGCTTCATTGACGAAGTATTTCGCGGTCTCGACTTTGTATACGCATACTTAGACGACTGCCTCATTGCCAGTCCAGACAAGGAAACTCACCTTAGGCACTTGGACTTGGCATTTGACAGGTTACGCCAACATGGTGTTACCATTAATATTCAAAAGTGTCAAATCGGTGTTGACTCACTCGACTTCCTGGGTCACACTATTGACTGCAAGGGCATTCGCCCACTGGCTACTAAGGTCGAGGCTATACTGAAACCGGCTTACTTGGAGGGTAATCCTATTAGCATAGAGCTGAACGTACCCCATAATCCACAAGTAACAGAAGATCGTTTAGACATCGATGAAGTCACTAGCACAGCGACAGCTACCGAACCTTCTATCGAGCCTCCCAAGAAAACCCGTTCTGGACGCACCGTAAGGTTCCCAGAATATCTGCACACTTATTTGACTTAACGAAGTCGTGTGATTCACGCAACTCATTCGTTTGTGGTACTGACTATTTTTTTTGACGTATCAATTTTTTTTATATACAGTACCACCGAACACAAAATTTTTTCTCAACAGTTCATGTAACATACACAAAAAAATTAATTAGATGTATTTTTTTTCGATGTTCTGAACTTAGCATTATTTTACTGTATAGTAAATGCACATAATTTTTTTAACCAAAAAGCTCATTTCGTACATTTTCCTCGACATGGTTCTTAGCGTTCTTGTTTTCTTTTCCAGGTGCGACGGGCACTGGACAGGAAACAAACGAAGCACGGAATCCAACGAACAACAACAAGGAAGCTATGTACAAACACCCTATTAGCATAGGCAGACAAACCAGTAGGCATACGACCAAGCCGCTCGGAAGATTTTTTTCACGCGAAAGGGAACCATCGAGTTTTTTTACTTCCGGCTGGTTCTGTCTTAGGGTCCTCACGACCCCACTAGGGGGGGAGTGAGCTGTAGCGGTAAATAATTCCCCAAAATTATTGACCACAGCAATCACTCATTGGATGCTGACCACCACTGTTTAAGTCGACTTGTTTAGCTGAAGGCTTCCGGTCAAGCATCCCCGCCATTTGGTACCCCGTCGTGTCACGTGCACGATCACTAGCCAGCTAAGCGTTCGTCTGACGGTTTGTTTTGGTCCTTAAATATATCACGTAGTTTGGACGATCAAATATTGGCTTTTGCTTTGTCTTTGGTACGCGAGAATAAATTAATTAGAAGTTGCTGAACGAGATATCGGTCACCCTCTTAATGTAGTACCCCTATACCAACTGTAAACATTGTTTTTAATCTAATTTGTATACTTGCATTATATGTGTATACAGACCGATTTTATATATACTTCGCAAATACTTGTCCATTCACTGTTGAATATTACCTTGACACAATTTCGAATTTGACTACTACTGTAATACACATTCGTAATCTTCGCGAGCGCCTTTTGATTTACGTTGTGGGCGTCGAGTAGCCACAACGTCTGCGCACATCAATAGAACGAAGAAATACATAGAATATATATGTACAGCAGTTTAGTCAGACAACGCACGCAACAAAATTGGTGAGCCCGACGTGATATTTCGACCCCACGCAACATTAAACCCCAAAGTCCATCTGTACGATGCTCCAAATTCTACCAGTGGCATTTTAAATCGTGTAGTAATGTCCTACAACGATCTACCTCCAGAAAAATCTTCAGCAATAAGTTGCAGACAACATTTTCGCCAACTACAATCAGCTGCAAAATCAGCATAGATTCTCATACGATAGCCTTGTCAACTGCTACCAGCCATCAGCTGTCACCTGTCAACACAAAGTTGCAATCGGTAGAAGATAAGATTACTCAAACGTTCGACTGGGCACCGAGGGCATTGCCACCAGAAGAGAGGAGACATATCGGTGAAGGAATAAATTAGACAATGACGTTAAATTTGCTCACTGCAGGTTCCTAGAATAAACATCTGCTCTCGAATTAGTACCTAAGGATATTTTGTTAAACAAACTTACTGAAACTCAAATTAAGTATTGGGTTATCAAATGCCTGCATTTTTTTTCTCAGGAAGAAAGCAGTACCCTGTGTGTTGTTTATCGCTTACTTTATAGATTAAACACCAAGTGATGTTTTGTTTACTTTCCCAGAGTTAATTCTCCGAACGCAGGGTGTGTGACAATTACAAAGACTTACAACTAATGAAGAAAATGAAAGACGGCCAAATTGTAAAGGCTCTACTCGTGCAATGTGAATTTGACTTTGAACTGAATACGCATTTCCTGCTCAGTTTGTGTTTTACTTTAGTTACTTGTTTAGCTGCTGGTTTGACTGTTACATGAGGACAAGCATCCTTACCATCTATCATGGTGTCATGCCACATTAGTACACTGGGTCTAGTTAGCAAAGCATGTGTCCCTGCCCAATAGTACCAATCCTAAAATATACTTCGTACTTTCACGCCTCACCTTTCTTCTTTTCCGAGCCTATTACAATCTAGTAAAACAGTCGAAGTTTCGAACTATATCTGCCAGGAAAGACAAAAACACACGGAGTTTCTGAGTAGCTGAAGATCATTCTACCCTCATAAAGCATTAAAATGAATGCAAAACACTAAAACAACTCAGTTAAAAAATAGTTCTCTTTATTCATTTTTACACAAAAAAATATCTTCGTTCTACTAAAAAAACCAGACTTTTATAAAAACAAAATGCTGGAAGATAGTTTATAAAATTTGACTAATCACTATAATTCGGAAATCGTTGAATCATAATAATAGGTGTTGTTTTAATTTGTTGAAGAGAGAAACACACACAATCTCTTGCTTTGTTTAGTTATTCTGTTTTCACTGTGTTCAATGTACAATCACCGCATTATGCATTGGTCTTCTCTGTTGACTGCCCTTTCGTCATACATGAACAACACACAGCATATGGATCTTCAAAATCATCTTCATCAACTGACTGTGGTATTTTACAGCATGGATATCTACATAATCCAAGATGTAGTAGTGCTGAAGTTATATAACATATTCCAGCGACAAGGAAGTAATAATCTTTCTGGCCTGTTTGCTCAACTATGCTTACTTTGAAAGGAAACAGAACAAGAGAAAGAGGAGAATAAAATAAATGAGAAAAGAGTATTATACACCTACTTTAACGTATTACTTGTCTTATTTTAAAAAGGAATCACAATCCAGGAGTCAAGCGGATCTGAATTCCGCTTCAGTCACGAACTGATGTAACTTTGAGTAGTGTTGAAAGGCGAGAAGCACTAGACAGAGCTGTTTTATCCTCCTTAGGAACTTTTCAGTAGTGGGCACTCACAAAACCACCAAAGATTAAAATCAGGACCAAGAGATTACGAAGCTAACACTTTACGGAACGTGGCTAGCAGCCGAAAGGGTATATAATGACCTTTTTGTTGTTGAACGGGTCAGTATACTCCCTTTTTTCAGCTTCGTGCCCTTGAAATACAAACGCAATCTGATAAAGTGCTTGGTTCATGGAGCAAGAGCAATCTACTCCGATAAATGTCTTGATGAGGAACTTAATAATATTAAACGGTTGCTGAGTGAAAATGGTTATCAAGAAAAGTTTATCGATAAGAATATGAATCGAAAAATCAAGGCAGCCCAAGGTACCAACAGTTCCAAAAAAGGCCTTATTCTTACAAATGCAGTTCTTCGGAGAAAACAACAGCAAGGTACTAACACAGCGCCTTAGAAATGCAGTAAAAGAGCATTCCCTGCTGCTGAACTATGCTATGTCTTCAAAACCACTCCTCTTTTTGCGTTCGGGAGTAAGAGACAAACTGCCTAATTTCGCCTCTTCCATGTGTATCTGTCAATTTAACTGCTACTGTGGAGCCAGTTACATAGGCCGTAAAATAAGGCGTGTTTGTCGTCGAATTTCCGAACATCAACCTGCATAGTGGTTAAGTAAAGGATAATCTAAATCTATCCGCAGCTCTATTCTATCTCATATTGTGGATACAGGACACAAGATTGATGTGAACCAGGCTTTCAGAGTCATTAACCGCATACCAACAAATCTCAGTTTCGCCTTAAGAGTTCGATTAGTAAATGTTGCTAAGGCCGTTGGGGTCCATATTAACAAGCCTAATTTAGGTGTCCAAAGGAAGTTGGTTCAGACATTATTCTTACCTTTGCCATCTAGGTTTGAATGATCATGAACTTTTGTGGAAATTTCCCTTATTTTAGTTGATATTCTATTTGCTATTATATTATTATTATTACAACTTAAGCATCTTTAATGAATTGTAATTCCATTGATCATACTTTACAAATCGATATTATTTAAAAAAACACTAATATTGTTATTGATTACTAATCTAGAATATTCTATGTATATAAATATGCATATATAATTGTAGAGCCAGAAGAGGAATTCACCAAAAAGGATATTCTTTACTTAATTGTTTTGTAATAAATATTGATTTAGGAAGATCAGTGTGTAATAAAACATAATGTACTTACTTGCTATCACAGGTCCAACCATCGATGAGATACCTTTCAATAAATTTAAATTACTAAAACTTGTTGTTAAACGTTCAAGCCCACTGAAACGAACTAGAAGTATTGGTATAAGTGGTATAGGTATACCTAAATGAGATAGAAGAAAAAAGTGAATGTTTGTAGCTCCATAAGGTTACTTCTCAATTTACAGACAGATTATATTCGCAATTCATATTAAATAAATATTTACATTAATCACGTTAATGTGACCAAACAGGACTGGGAGAATCACGTATTTAAGCCTAGCCATTGAAAGAAAAGTTTAATACAGTATACACACCAATACGATGGAGAAAATTTATAGCTCAGGTGGATGATTTTGACGTCATTGTGTTCTCTGAGCTGGGTGGTTTATTTGCGAAGCTTCCATTGCCCTACTAGGCAACATCTTCAGTGAATCGTCATAGACGAAATTTACCAATCGATAAGAAGGAAATCTCACATACAAAGGGTCAAAGTTCAAGTCAAGGAAACAATCAGTTCCAACTTAGGGGGTATGAAAACAACCAATCACCTTCAAGGTCACCAGGAGGGATGACTAATAAACTCGTGGAGAAATCTAAAAGCTCACTTCAACAAATTGAAGTATGCGCTAAAGATGTTGCCTTGTAGGGCAATGGGAGCTTCACAGATAAGCCGTCCAGCACCCTTAACGATGGTTACTTCTAATTAGCTAACCTTTTACAACATTACTGAACAGTCATGGTCTGATTGCGTGTGGAAGCGATTCTGACTAAGTATCAGCGTAGAAATTTACGTATTCATGCAGCAGTTCAAGTTGTCACACTCCGTATAGCATAAAAAGATAGAGAAAAACAGAAGAATTAAAAAGAACTATAACTAGTAAAAATATACGTGAGGAAGAATAATTACATGACTAAGAAACATGAGGACTTGATGGATCTGGGAAATTGCAAAGAGTGAATGTATCTGCACCACTGAAACCGACTGTGAACCATATCTCCTACAGTCTAAAGCTATTGGATCTTAACAATCTGAGGATCTCAACCAGACTCAGTTTACAACTCCCTACGTTGCTCAAATCAAAAGTCAAGAACTCCATTGATTGATGCTCTATTTACCGTTTTTTTAAGCTGAAAAGACTTTTACAATCTAATTGTTTGTAAGTTAATATCGTTCGGCTAGGACGTCGGTGGCTAGGTATGGGAAACACGTGTTCTAACCATCTTAAACAATGTAGCTTCATAATTTCTTCAATTAAATTTCTCTCTCCATCGAATATTCTATTTCCAGCCTCAATACCACTCACTACATTACACCTCTGATCACAGAAGATAGAATGCAAGCACTTATGATCCAAAAAAGCTAGCCGCTTCATATCTTTGGCTTTAACCAGCCATATGTCATAGTGGTAAGGAAGGACAGACAGAAATGCTGTACAGTACACAAGTCCTTTGGTCGTTAGCGGGATATCATGTTTGCACAGAAGATGTGAAGAAGCTGACAGTTTCATGTTACATTCACATGATTTCAGTTAAGTTAAGTAACTGCTCATCTTCAAGAGTTGTTTTGTATGGATTGAATTTGTTTTTACGAGTTTGCACACGGATTGGTATCAGTTAGAGAACCATTGAAAACCAGCACTGGAGTACTGGACAGCTGTTTCATCCTAGTTTGGGAATCATCGGCACTACGCATCCACCGCCAGGGTTCGAACCCAGGACCAATTCGTGATTTAGCGCAAACACCAATCAAATGTCATCTTGAAAATAAATCTGATGCTCGCTAGTGAGTGACTTGCTACAGGACGGAGTTCCCTGGAGTTCTAGTGAGAAGTTGTGACGAGTGAGGTCCATCCAATCAAGTGTGAGGATGGATTTCCCACCGATAACATTGGTTAGTCGTCGCGCAAAGTCATGAATTGGTAGAAATTAGAATTTATGAGCTGGTCACTGAATCGACTCCCAGTGGCTGAATAGTATACAAGACAGCCCTCCTTGTAAGCGGAAAGTCCCGGGTTCGAACCCTGTCAGCGGGTGCGTACTGCCGATGATTCCCAAACTAGGGTGAAACAGCTGTCCGATATTCTATTTCTGGTTTTCAATGGTTCTCTAACTGATATCAATCCGTGGTCAAAATCGTAACTGTTCATTTATTAATTGTTTAGATGACACTGTTTTGATCACCACTTATTTACCCGCTTAGATTTTCAAGGGAATTAGTTACTGTTTTCTTATTGTATCATAGGATCAATCAATATAAACTAGTTTTAACTCAATAAATAAATAAATTCAGAATTCTGGTGGTTTGAACTCATTCGGTTGTCTCAGTTGAGTCAACCCTGATAAACCGATGATGAGTTGAACTCCAAACGAGTGAAACAACCGGCACTACTGGTGAATGTTAGTGGTGTCCAGCTACTTCTGCCAGTCAATCAGTAGTATATAGCATCGTAAATGCATTAAAGTTAAATGATTAGAGAAAGTCTTCAGGAAAACTTAGATCTAGGTCCTATGCTTATTGGCATTCAATCCCTAAGGTCTATCTGCTACCTCGAAAGGATTGATATCCCATCGGAGATTGTAATCTTCATTATCTAGTGCTGCAGTCATAGATATTATCATTGAACTATTCGAACTGTCCAACCATTGAGCACAGAGATGGTGTATGTCACGGAATGAATGGTGATCACATTGTCAAATTGACCGACAGAATTCATTCATCAACACTAATGATCAGAAATATGACCTCTAAGTGAATATTTAATACATTTTTAACTGACAGGACTATTAAAATGATGCATAAACAGTGACAACTTTATGCAAAGGTACATCAACTGAAATGACTTCAGTTTTCCAAACAAACAAAAGAAATATGGAGAACAAGAAGACGTGATCTGAAGTAAAATGATGTTAGAACAAGACATATAAGCGAACAATATTGTTTTCAATTAGATCTTCTTCAGGCTTTACTCTAATTTACATTGACATATATAAAAATTTCTAACCAATGCCGCCACCCTCTGTTCTGCATTTTTCCAGCCGACCAATTTTGATTGCTCATGCGAAAGATAAGCTACCTAGCTGTGCGACTTGCATGTGTATCTATAAATTTAGTTGCTCCTGTGAAGGAAGCTATATAGGACGAACAACTAGACAGCTTAACAAACGCATTAATGAGCATCTTCCTTCATGGTTCGGAAAAGGTCAAATAAAGTCCATACGAAGTTCTGTTTTGGCTCATTTGATTGATAGCGGTCACCAAGTGGACAAAAATAGTGCCTTCAAAGTTATCTATCGCATTCCATCGAGTCTTTCGAACGGAATCAGAACCCGTCTTTTACACTTAGCCGAAGCTATGGGAATTCGAGGGAACAATCCTAGTCTTTGTATACAAAAGAAGTTTGTTCTACCTTTGTCTCTCCCTTGCTTGCCTAGGTGAATTCTATTCAAAACCCTCCCACCCTTTCTTATCTTTCATCTCCTTCGTACTTTTATGATATTTATTTAAACTTTGATTATCGTTCCATTTCACTTTTTAAGATTTGACCTATTTATTTATTTATTGAATTGTCTACATGTACACATATATACATATACTATCTTTGTTATTCTTATCACCTGCATAAACCTTATTATCAATATTTTGTTATCATTATAATCATCGTTATTAATTTCGTTCAAAACATTTACCACATTATTATTATTATATGATCCACAAAGTCACTGTCATTTTTTATATATAAATCTATGTAAATTAGAGTAAAGCCTGAAGAAGATCTAATTGAAAACAACAATGTTGTTCGCTTATATGTCTTGTTCTAATATTGTAAAATGATGTCGCAATGAACAAATATAAATCAATGAGAGAAGAGTAAATAGTTTATGCCGACTGATGTGAATGTTCAGGGTTTCTATAAGATGACAAGGAGTGAAAAGATGGTGCTCCATTGTGAATAACTTTAATCCACACAATGAGAACTCTTCAATCATTGATTGATTTGTTTTCATTTCTTCTCATTCCTGATGGAACATAGGGCATAAATCTACGAAGTTTCAATGAAGTGAGGGCTGTTAGTCTCACACTTAACCAAAGATATGGTAGAGAATATTTGTAGCTCAGGTGGGTGTTTTTCAAGATGTCTTCAACGCCATCAAGTTCACAAGAGAAGAAGAATCCGAGAACCAAATCCCATTTTTGAACGTCTTAGTCAGGCGAACAAGCACAGGGGAATTAGAAACTCAGGTTTATAGAAAATCAACTCACACAGATCAAATTCTGAATTACAACAGCAACAATCCAATAACACACACAAAAGGAATTGCATACAAACACTATTCAAGAGGGCCAGCCAGGACTCATTGCAGCACTCCTACCTTAAGGAAAATTGAAGAAAGATATCTCATGGACGTCTTCTGAAAGAATTTCATAAAAAGGCACATACCCCCAAGCCAATTCTCCAATCAAAGGCCCCCAAGGAAAGCACAAAGAAAATCGCCTTACCATATATAAAGGATATTTCAAAAATCAATACAAGACTCTTCAAACCTTTAGGAATTGACGTTGGACACAAAGCAACAAAATCAATTCACTCAATTCAACGTCAACCAAAAGACTCAACAACGAAAGAAGGTAGAACCAATATCATCTACAAAATGAATTGTAACAAGTGAGAAAAACACTACATTGGCCAAAGTGGACATCCCGTTCGTCTTCGGATTGACGAACATAAGCTAGCCGTCAAAAGATATGACATCTACTCCCTCATATCGCCTCACTGCATACAGACAACCACGGACATCAATTCGACTGGGACAACGTTCAAATATTATACAGAGGAAACAACAAGAATGCTAGAGAATTTTTAGAAGCTTGGCATTCCAATGAATCACCAATCAATAGACACATCGAGATAGACAAAATTTATCAACCGATAAAAAAGAAACCTCACACACACAAAGGGTCAAAGTTGAAGTCAGAGAAACAATCAGTCCCAATACAAGTAACCTAGAAGGTGTGAAAACACACACAAACAACCAATCACGTCCAAGGTCACCAGGAGGGATGATTAATAAACTCGTGTAGAAATCTAAAAGCTCACTTCAAATTGAAGTATACGCTGAGGTGAGGATATTGCCTATTAGGTGATGAAAGCTTTGCAAATCAACTATCCAGCTCAGAGAACAAAACCACATCAAAAAACACTTAATCTTCTTTGTTTACTGATTGAACTTACTACCGGCTAATTAAGGTCCAGGAGTGATTACACCGGGAATCAAACCCTGGACCACGTTTGGAGTGGTTAGCGAGCATTCTACCACTACACCATTAACGCATACAACTTATATTACAAAGAAATCCAATGCTTTAATAGGGAAATAAATTTACAAAATGATATCATTCTATTTCACAGGTTCTCATCAGCTGCAGACTACCTGAAATTACAATGGTTACATAGATGATAATAACATACTTTAATGTTCGAGTGGTGGTAGAAAAGAGATACTATAAAATTGACGCATCTAAATGAAAGCATTACAATGTTTTTAGTTTAAGTTTTCATCATCAATTTATACGCTTTTAAAGTTGAAAAGAGGGGGAGGGGTAAGAGAGAAAACAGAAAAAATTGATTAACAGAACAGTGTTAGCTTTTAGGTTCACATAGCAACTCAAGAAACAAAAACGGTTACAGTTTATGAGATTAAGATTTGTTCAGTGAGTTGAGATCACTGAATTAGATGACTAATCAAAATCAAAATTCTGTTACCAAGGGAGTGAGAGGTTAATCACACTCTCTTTCTGTATGCATAAGTCTGGTTTAAGTCTTTTGATTGCGATTGCTTCGGCAAATCGTAGTAAATTTGCTGTCCTTTGTCTATTTAATATTTTGAAGGACTTAGAAATCTCTACGAGATGTCCGGTATCAATAATGTGTCTGGTAATTGCACTCTGGGAATATCTGCTTCCTTTCAGGCACAGGTTTTTGGGAATATGTTCAGAAAACCGGATAGAAGCCCTTCTTTCTGTCCTTCCAATGTACTTGCTCCCGCAAGTGCACGTGAATTCATAAACGCAGTTGGAGGTGACATCAGCAGGGTATTTATCCAGTTTTGAGTGGATTAAAGAAGGAGTGGTGCTGTATACTGTTATGAGTTTTGCTGCTGGGAAGCTTCTATTTATTGCACCTTTCAGTCTTTTGTCAATCTTTTGTGACACTGCATCTTCTTTGTATGGTAGACAGATAAACACTTTTTTCTTTTCTACAGTTGGATGCTTTTCTTTCTCATCTTTTTCTCTGCTGTACTTCTGAATAAATCCCTTAGGGTATCCATTTTCCCTTAGGCATTTCTCGACGAAAACTAATTCTTCTTCGACCCTGTTTGGTGAACATAGCTTTCTGGCTCTGTCATACAAAGTCCTCACTAATCCACGTTTATAGCTTATGGGACAAAAGCTGTTATAGTGAAGATATTGTCCAGTCCAGGTTTCTTTTCTATAGATGGACTTTTCGACCGTGCCTTCGTTTGTTCTTTTTACATTTAGATCCAGGAAATTGAACTCATTATTATGTTCATATTCCATGGTGAATTTGATATTTGGATGTATCTCATTTAGGCGATCATATAGTGCCGATGCGTGATCCATATCGTTGCAAACAACAAATGTGTCATCAACATATCGGCGATAGTAGGTAGTTCCATTGATAGCAGAACAAAGGACAGACAAAGGACAGCAAATTTACTACGATTTGACGAAGCAATCGCAATCAAAAGACTTAAACCAGACTTATGCATACAGAAAGAGAGTGTGATTAACCTCTCACTCCCTTGGTAACAGAATTTTGATTTTGATTAGTCATCTAATTCAGTGATCTCAACTCACTGAACAAATCTTAATCTCATAAACTGTAACCGTTTTTGTTTCTTGAGTTGCTATGTGGACCTAAAAGCTAACACTGTTCTGTTAATCAATTTTTTCTGTTTTCTCTCTTACCCCTCCCCCTCTTTTCAACTTTAAAAGCGTATAAATTGATGATGAAAACTTAAACTAAAAACATTGTAATGCTTTCATTTAGATGCGTCAATTTTATAGTATCTCTTTTCTACCACCACTCGAACATTAAAGTATGTTATTATCATCTATGTAAATCACGAATTGGTAGAAGTTAGAATTCACGAGCCATTGAATCGGGTCCCAGTGGCTGAATGGTATACGAGCTTGCCTTGTAACCGGAAGGTCCTGGGTTCGAAACCCAGTGGGTGCGTACTGCCGATGATTCCCAAACTAGGATGAAACAGCCGCTGTCCAGTACTCCCTGGTTTTCAATGGTTCTCTAACTGATATCAATCCGTGATCAACTCGTAAAACATAACTAATCCTTGCAAACCAAAACTATAGAAATCTATGTAACCATTGTAATTTCAGGTAGTCTGCAGCTGATGAGAACCTGTGAAATAGAATGATATCATTTTATACTGCAAATTTCGTCTTCCTTTCTTTATCGAAATATATCAAGGGAACCAAATGTATGAAATTTACAAAACACAAAAGAAAAAAAAACAATAACAATAACTTACCACTGCATAGACCATAAACACTTGCATATATTGCATACCATGTAAATGTACGCGGTAGTATAAAAACAAGCAGTAGATGAGCTAATCCACCAATAAATGTTGATAATCCACTTAAATAAACTGAGTCAAAATGAAAGATATTCGCCATTATTCCAGAGATAACACGGCCAATTGTATGCAGTATACCTTGTGAACCAAACAGATAATATCCATTTGTGATTATATTTGTCAATTTTATCAATTTTTTTTCCATGTGCGACGGGCACTGGACAAGAAACAAACGAAGCACGGGATCCAACGAACAGCATCAAGGAAGCGATGTACAAACACCCTATTAACATAGGCAGACAGACCAGTAGGCACGCCACCAAGCCGCTCGGAAGATTTTTTTCACCTGAAAGGGAACCATCGAGTTTTTTTACTTCTGGCGGGTTCTCTCTTAGGGTCCTCACAACCCCACTAGGGAGGGATGAGCTGTAGCGGTAAATAATTCCCCAAAATTATTGACCATAGGAATCATCAGTGAACATTGGATTCTTACCCTTAGAGTTTAAGTCAACTTGTTTAGCTGAAGGCTCCCGATCAAGCATCCTTGCCATTTGGTACTCCGTCGTGCCACTTTCGTGCACGATAAATAGCTAGCTTAGCTTCCGCTTCAGTCCGCGATTTGGTTCCGAAATATATCTCGTTATTTGGACAGTCCATTGTGGTGCTTTGCTTTGCCTTTGGTACACGAGAAACAAATAAGATAGAAGTTGTTGGTAGAAGATCTTGGGTTAATATACTCAATACTGTTCGCGAACGTCTATACCGTCAGCCTTTAAATATACATTAGTTATTATCATTATTTATTTTATTCCTTTGCCAATAAAGGACTTCAAGCTAGAGCTTTAGAATTTTCAGTAGCAGTGATGTTTTTTACGGGGTCGGGCTGCTAGCCTCAAGCCCAACCTTCCCTCTTTATCGGGATTATAACCGGCTAAGAGTGGTAAAAATGTGCGCTGGTTAGGACTCGAACTCAGGGCCACGCGTATGGTTGGCCAGCACTGTACAGCTGAACCACCGACGCACTAATGTATACATTAGATTAGATAAAAAGGAATAGTTAGACTTAGTTGTAAGTATAATAATATGTAGCCAATGTCGAAATACATTTGAAGAGAAAAGAACGTTTATACAAGATTTGAATTTGTAAAGGAAACCGCTTTTACACTTGTGTACCTAGACTCAGATAAGAAAAAGCAGTAAGGTGATCAGATAGGCAGATAGGAAACCAGTCAACAAGCTGTTACCTCAAAAATATGCAGAAGGAAATGTAGATGGATGAGACATGTGCTGAGCAGATCGGTGAGTGAAATCATAATTCAGGCCATCGAGTGGAACCTGAAAGAGGATGCAACGAGTTGGATGTGGCTCCATGGGTGAAATGGGAGACAGTTGTGGAGCCAACTATAAAGATGACAGAGAACAGAAATATAATCGAGGCATGGTGTCAAAGTTCTATGTTCCACTCAGAAACCAAGGGACAAATAATAATAATAACAACATAAGTTTAGTCTGTTTGAGTTTTAAAAGCTTTCCAACTCTTCAGTTTCATTCACTTTATATAAAAAGTTTACACAATTTGATGGTGATCAAATATGGATTTGAAACAGAAGCCTAAGAATTTTTAGAACTTAGGATCGAGTCCCGGAGCTACTCAAACTTTCATTCCACACCTTCAATCACCACTCATTAGATCAATATTAGTCCACTAAATCTAAAGTTATTCCAGATAGTTTCACCATCAAAAGTGTTTCTCATGCAATGAATCGACTTTCCAAATATTCTAACGTTTTGAAAATTTAAAAAAGTAATCAGTTTTCATGAGTTCCAAATGACTTTCTTTGAAAAAGTTTCTAATATGTTTCACTCTTTTATAATGTTGATAAAATACTCGTCGAAAATAGGACTGACATTTGAGTTCACTGGAAGAAACTATGTTGATCGATAGATTGATGCATCTGCTGATAAATGGCACACTGCTTGTTAGTCATATGGGAGGTCCGAGATCAGTCATTGTCTGTGAAACCTCACCTAATCCACTAACTGTTCTTAAGAACGGGTATTTAACAGGCTGGGCGTAGGCCACGAAAAGAAACCATTGTGACAGAAACTCGACACCACAGAAAAAGTAGCATACATGCATGCATGCTAAGTTCCAATTTTAATATATTTCTAATCAATACTAACTAGTTTTGAGATAAAAAATGTATATAATAGAAATCCATCATTGTCCTAAATTTTTCATATATCGCATTCTAAATTTTCCAAAACAAAAATATTAAAACCAACAATAAATCAATGCTATAGGCAGAACCAAAAAGCAAGCAAATACATATTTTCGGTAAATTTCCACTAGACTTACTACAATTACATAATAGATTATCAGTCATTATTTATTATTATACCCTTGAGTTCTGTGTAGAACGTAGGGCTAAAACAACACATCTCCACTCTGTTCTATTTTCGGCTGTCCTCTCTTCAGCTAGGTCCACGATTGCCCACAATCTCTCATTTCCTCCTCAAACTCACACGATCTCCTGCATGTCAGCGTCGCGCCGACGACCCACTTGTTGCCTCCATTAGGATTTCAGTCGAGCAATGGCCTGTATTGCACGCAATGTCATTCGACGGCCTCCTCGGCGTACGCCCAATCTATTTCCATTTTCTCCTACATATTTGTTGAGCAATCGGCTCTTGCTTGTTGGTTTTTTCTCAGCCAGAGTTTGTTGTTGCTAAATCTTTCTGGACAGTCGGCTGTCCGGCCATTTGATCTTCAGTATAGAGCCAGTCAGCGATGTGGGCAGTTGTTGATAATATTTTGTAACTAGTTAAAAATCCTTTTGTGACTGACATTCAGTGCAAGTTTCTGACCTGTAGAGAAGAAATGACTGACAGACTTAACATTTGTACTGAACCGAATCTTGTTGTTTATGCCGGCTGGCTGATTGGCTTTGACATCTTCATCCGTGTTGTCCGACTGTCTGTGGTTGAAAGTGCGCTTCCTAGTCGGGTAAGGGAAGGAAGTCACCTCTGTCAGATCTTTCCCGTTGATGATGTTTAATGCCGGTTCTAGTTGGTGAAGGTTGGTTATCTTCATCACCTCCGTCTTCTCTATGTTCACCTTGAGTACTGTCTTCGCCGCCAGGCTCTTCTGTCAGTTTGTTGGTTTTCATCTGCAAGTCTTCGAGTTGGTGTGTGACATTTAATAAAAATATAAATTATATGCGAAATTCAGATCTTTTAGAGTCTGCTTATCGGTCATCCAGTGTATTCCTGTCTCCTCGCTCCAAGAGCACAGTTTGACACATAATCCACTCCACTACAATCAGGAATATCATCGGTGAGAATAGGCAACCAGCCTTGTCCTATTCCTGTATTCACTTAGAACGCTCGCTGAGTTTTCCGTTGTGTATCATCTGACTGACATGTGGCATTGTCATATAGGCAGATGTTGAATAAGGTTGATAAAGACTTGGCCACTGCACGCTGTATTGTTGAAGTAGTTCTCAGATTACTTCTCGGTCAATGCCATCTGTCGAAAGCCTTTTCGAAGTTGATGAAGTTAAGTTACAGACATTTGAAACAATGGGGATCAATAGAATCAAATGGAATCGAAGGAAATGGTAGTAGAATAACAATAATAATAAAATATAAAACTAAGACTTAAATATGCACCTATAGAACGGTATGATATTGATAATGAAGTTAGAAGTACAAATGGAAATAAAAATTTATATTTACAGTTATTCAGTATCACCGAGACAGATAATTATTCTAGATTGAAGTTGAAGGCCATGCCAGGGAGAGAGATTGAACAAACGATTTTCGAACATAAAGACCGGGCTGAAAACATTTTATGGCAACTACCTCAGCTATGCTTAACAACCGAAAGTATGCAAACGAAGGGAGCTAAGGTTGTACCTTGTTTAAAAATGTAAAGGCTGAGTATTTATCAATCTTATTGTCTATATCCACAAAGTGTGCCAGTATGGAACTCCTGATTAGCTTTATGGCTGCCTTACCTAACCATGTTGGACAGTTCTCTAGAAGTTGATAGTGGGTTTGCCAAGTCATTCAACCTATGTAACTGCCTCCACAAGAACAGTTAAATTTATAAATGCACATTAAGCCATTCGGGCTCAGTGATAGTGACGTCTCTGACTGCAACACTGAGTGATGCGGGCCAGAATCTCAGAAGAGATCAGGGTTCCTTCAAGGTTACAGATACGTCTTGCTGACTGGTAAGTAACAACTAGCACGAAACCTAGTTCAAGCTGGGCTTCCTACCGATTGCTTCGAACCATCTCATATATTTAATTTTGTTGATCCACATTGCTTCAAATATTTATGACAGATATCGCATTGTGTAATTGTGATGAGCCTGATAAGAATCTACCGAAAATACCTAATTGCTCGCATAAATCATGTTCGAGAACTAAAAATAACAAACTCAGGTAGAAGGTGAGGACATTTACTCAACGAAGAAGACATTGCGAAGTGTCGCGCTATGTCTTGAACTGGCAGAAGTTGGAATTCATGGACTGGCCATTGGATCAGGCCCTAGTGGCCGAATGGTGTCTACGAGCTTGCTAGGCTTGTAACCAGAAGGTCCTGGGTTCGAATCCTGGTGTTGGGTGCGTACTAATGAAGACTCCAAGCCAGGGTGAAATAGCCTTCCAGTACTCACAGATTTTCCAATGGTTGTCTGACCGATGTTAACTTATCATGAAATCCTGTAATCACTCAATCAAAATCCCTACAAACAAATACATGAAAATTCAGCTTACTTAATATCATCACAATAATGACAGCACGATCTTGTTCCATTCCATAACTTATTGCACAATCAATTAAATAAACATATGGAATAAAATACGCCAGTTGACTTGTTATTCCAATTCCAATTAAATATAAAAATGACATCTCAGTAAATAAACCTAAATCGAATAGTTTAATTGTTCTTTGACCAAATGTTATCAAATATCTTTGAGGTTGATATATGAATGGCATCTTTGTTGGATATTCAGTTTCAACTGTACACCTGTAATTTTCAAGTTTATTATTATTATTAGTCGTAGTAGTGAACAACTCTTCCTCGGGTATGACATCACACTCAGAGAAGATATTACTTCGTGTTGATTTAAAGATTTGATTATCAAATGAAGTTAATTGTTCCATTTGCTGTTGCTGGTGTTGTTGTTGTTGGTGCTGTGATGGTAGCGGTGGTTGTAATGACTCTTGATCGTATTGTCTATTTGACATTGAAGTAGAAAACGACTGGATTGACATATTACTACTAATAAAATCAGTAGTACTACGTTTTTTACTCATTGGTTCATTAGTCAAATAAATCAATGATGGTTTAGATGAGTGTAGTGAAGTTAAACCCTTAGAATATGGATTTGTAGTAGTACATATTGATTTTTTATAAGCAACAAGTATTTGTGAAGAACGTGGATTTAAATTCGCCAGACTAGCTGAATAAAATGCATCTGGTTTATCAAATGGTGTAGAGAATTGGGACATAAATTGTTTTCGGCGAGTTTTTTTCACTGGTGTTATCACATGATTTGAATAGTGTATGGGATCATAACCGTGTGAATCAGTTGTTGTTGTCATACGTCTTATACGTTTAACATGGTCACATTCTGGTTTATTCAACTGACGACTTGTTTTATACGATGGTTTTGATTGCTTGAAGCCTAAACTTGATTTCCATAGTCTTGAACCAACTGTTGACTCTGTGTCGTCGTCGTCTTCTTCTGCCCCTTCTTCGCCTACATCACTGGCATTTTCTGATGAGGCTGGTAAGTCTAATAAAAGACAACATGTAAAAATTCCCATTAGATTAGGCAGAAAATGAAAACAAGTGATTCACGGAACAGATGCATTTCAACCAACTTAACATCAATTTGCATCTTGAGTTGAACATAGAACTTCAAGCTTCAGTTTTGATGTTGCCATAATGGTGGTATCACAGGATGGAACTGATAGCCTCACGCCTAACCTTCCCTTTGTACCGGGCTTACCGCTAGCTAAGCCAGGCTTAGGAGTGTGTCGATTGGGGATCGAGCCCGGACTACATGCTTGGTTGGCGAATATTCTATCACTGATCCACTGACGCAGTAAAAGGCAGGATCAAGTTTGTTTAATGTCCTGGTCATACGTACCTCAAAACTCATCCCTAGAATTATATACATATATTGATGTGAACTGCAACAAAATATTCATAATTATAATCACAGTTAAACATCAAGCAACACAAAGTAAGTTATGTAATTTATAAAACCGTTCATCAAATTTATAAATTTCAGCATTAGTAACACACTACGGATCATCATTGAACAAAGCGTAGAATGGCAGTCACCTCTCTATCTAAACTTCATCGACTTTGAAAAGACCTTCGACAGCGTCGATAGAAAGGTGATTTGGCAACTACTTCGCTACTACGGAGTGCCGCCGACAATTATACATCTCATCCAACAGTTTTACGATAATGCTGGATGTCAAGTAATCCACAGCGGGAATCTCACGGAATCCTTTGAAGTGGGGACAGGAGTAAGACAAGGCTGCCTACTATCTCCAATGAATTTCCTGATTGCAGAAGATTGGATAATCCGACAGACAGCGGCGGACAGTGAGGAAACAGGCATAAAATCGACCTTCACGAAAAACTTGGAGGTTTGGACTTCACCGATGATATATTTATATCTGATTTCCACAAACTGGAAGATATGCAAGTGAAAAGCAACAAGTTGGAAGAAGAAGAATCAAAGATGAGACTTCGAGTAAACATAGAGAAAACAGAGGTAATGAAGATTCCTGGACAACACCAACAGGAACAAACACTACAGACAACAATCAGTACGAATAGGAGAAATCTTCAAGAAGCAACCTCCTTAACCTACCGACATGGGAAGTATAGTGTCAACTAAAGGCGGAACTGATGAGGATATCAAAGCAAGGATTGGAAGGCAAGACAAGCTTTCAATACTCTCAAGTCTGTGTGGAGGTTAACAACACTCAGCCTCAAAAATAAAATCCAGATTTTCAACTCCAATGTGAAGTCAGTGCTACTATACGGATCATAAAGAGCACCTCAAACCAACTACAGACCTTCATTAACAGCTGCCTTTGCTCAATACTCAAGATCAGATGGCCGGCCAGAAAAGATCAGAAACAGGGATCTCTGGCAATGAGCAAACCAAACAGAAACCAATTGTGAAACAAATAGGCACGAAGAAATTGAGGTGGATTGGTCATACTCTGAGAAAACAAACCATCAAGTGACATCACTAGACAAGCCATTGCTCGAGTGGAACCCGAAAGGGAAGCGGCGAGTTGGTCGTCAGTGCAAGGGTGACTTGGAGGAGGTCATGTGAAGAGGAGATGAAAGCATGTGGGCAGATGTGGAGCCAGGTGAAAACGTTGGCAGAGAACTGAACGCAATGGAGAGGCGCACCTGAAGCCGTATGTTCCTCTAGGAATTAAAGGAAATAATAATAATGTAATAATTAGTAACAAGATTTTCAAAACTAATAGCAAGCCTTTGCTTGTTTACAGTTCAGAGATTTGGTGTGGGCATGACAAAAAGCACTTCGAGCAGGCTACTGAATACTTTCAATACTTTCAATTCATACTAAGGACTAAATTGGAAAAAAAGAAAAGTAACAAGGAGTTCTGTCAACGAACCCACCAAGAACCTATTATCCTACAAATACATAGAAGTAAATAGAAATGGAATGGACATACGTTGAGGAGATATTCAAGTGACACCACACACCAGGCTATCGAGTGGAGCATAGACGGGGAACGAAGAGTGGAGTATGCATGGCTGGATGACACAGTCAGGAAATCGTGTGATGAGGAAATGAAAGCTGATGGGGAGTTGTGGAGGCAAATAACAGGACAGCAGAGGACTTCACTAGGTGGACATGTGTTGTTGAAGCCCTACTTTCCATTAGGAACCCAAGGAAATAGTAAAACTACAATGAGTAGGCAAATGAAAGATTGCTTAACGAAGTGACACTCTTGATAAGATAGATTTCAGCACTGCAGGAAATATACTGAATTAATGTGATGACGGAGGATAAGTGAAATTATGCCGGAACCTGTTTGAATTGTCAGTAAATAATAATAATACTGATAGAATAACCGAATAGGGTGAAAAATAAGTGCGGCTGAGGTAGAAATAGGAACTACGATAATTTTACATAGACGGATTAAGACTGTGAAAGAACAGATGTTTCCTGTATACATGGTACTGATTTCTCTGATTCGATGACTAAGGCTTTAACAATGCAGATGAGTCGGATACACAGTGACTATGGCAGGTTATTTCTCACTTCACAGATAACTTTAAAGGTAAAAGTTGTGGAGATAAGATGACCACGATTGACTGATTATTCAGCTTTATATAACTCTAATTTCCATCTGGCCGTAACCATATATAGGGTAGTGTTCTTGTACACATATATTAACATGATTTTTGTGATCTTGCGTTATTGTAATTCTAACCTTATCGCTTAATTCCATTATGGATAAGATTTTATTTTGATAAGTCACATAGTGTTACACAGTAATAGTAACTGATGACGTTTCAAGCACAAATTATTGCTCATAATCATGTCAAGTTACTCACACAACTTTTTCCTTCATTTATATGCATGAGTGAAATTAATGATTAGACATTTCAATAAAAATCATTATAAGATGGTAATGTACATTCAGAAATAATAATATGAGTGTTACTGATCAAATACAATCAGATGGGAAATAAAACGAGTGTTTTTATAGTCATGATAAGTAATTCGTAAGAATGTTGTGATGTGCCTGAATTGAAATAGAATTTTGAGATTACGCATTATCCTCCTCTGATTTGACTGACTGGTGGTAATAATATCTTCCATATCTTTGGTATTTGCATTGAGTCATTTCTGTTGCATGCGTTGTGTTGGGTGTAGACTCAATGAACCAGGATTCAGTAATCAATCTCTCTCCCCGACAATTGCATTTGCACTACATGCACTAACACACAACTACACCATAGGGTGGGAGAGGGTTAAGATTCTTAAAAGCAATCCATGTAGGTGGAGAGAGAGATTGATTACTGAATCCTGGTTCATTGAGTCTACACCCAACACAACGCATGCAACAGAAATGACTCAATGCAAATACCAGAAATATGAAAGATACAATTACCACCAGTCAGTCAAATCAGAGGAGGATATTAAGTAATGTTAGAATGTATTTCAATTCACACTGTAACATTCTAACAAGTTATTTATTTATTTTACTATACAAACATTTTATTCCCCATCATATTGTATTTTATTGATAGCACTAATATTATTTCGGAATGTACTTTATCTTATACTATGCAAATGTCTAATCAATTTTCGCTCTTGTATATAAATGAAGCAAGAAAGTTGTGATATGATTATAAGTGGCGATAGTTTGTGCTTGAAACGTCATCAGTTAATATTACTGTATAGCAAGACTGTGTGATTTATCAAAATAAAATCTTATCCATAATGGAGTTATACTCTGCCACCACAGTGCCCAAGTTTTATACTTATCGCTTAATGTTTTATTCACTTAATAATCTTATCAATTCTATGAAGTATTTTGGATTTCGTATAACCTACTCTACTCGAGGTTTAACTATGATTATAATCATATGTATTTTGTGGCAATTCACATTATTTTGATATATATATATATATATATATATATATATGTATATATAACTCCTGATTGACTGATAACAACAACATTCGGGTTTCCAGCACCCATGTTAAATCAGTCATTTCGTCTATGTAGGTCAGGAACAGCGTGCACGCGTCACGGAAAACATTTCTGACAGCTTACTAAGGACTTTTATCAATAGCTGACTTCGCTGACTCTATAGTGAAAATCAGATAGCCGACCGGCAATAAACAATCAGCGACAAGAAACTGCGGGAATGAACCAATCAGGTACCTTTTGCTTAAAAAATATGTAGGAGAAAATGGAGATGGATTGCGTACACACTGAGTAGATTGTAGAGTGATATTGCACGCCAGACCATCTCTCGAGTATAACCTGCATGGGAAATAGTGAGTTGAGCATCTTAGGGTGACATGAAGGAGATGAAGGCTTATGAGCAATCGTCGGACCAGTTAGAGAAGACTATAGGAAACAGGGGAAAATCGATATGTCCTGTTGAAGCCGTATCTTCCACTGAGAACCCAAGATAATAATAAAACAAAATATAATAATTTTTTAAAGATAAGTCAATTTAAAAGAGATGTATTCATTTACGTTTCTGTTTTATGAAGATTTTATACACTAACTTCTGGCATAGATTTTGTTAAGATTTCCCATCATGTGTATAGCTTTCCTGTTTTAAAAGAATAAAAAGCCTAGAACATTTTAACTGAAAGAAATTCGTTTCATTTTATATAGTTTAAAATGTCTCTGAACTGATTAATTTTCAAATCAGACGTCATTAATTTATTGCAGTCTAAATTTCTACAGTCTATTTGAAAAAAAGGCTGGATTCAAGGTGTTCAAGATTGAAAATTTTGCATATTTGATACAATAAATCAACGCTCAAATGTCATTTTCTCTCTAATAGATTTTTACAGTTTCAGGAAGTGACTGTATTACTTTTTTAATGTAAGAGGAAATATAAAAGAGTTGATCATTATTAGTGTAGATGAACGTCACACTGAGCTATAATCGAATAATTGATTTAGCGTGATGTTATATACTACTGATTGATTGTATGAGTAGTTAGAGACCACTTACATCATTAACCAGTAACATCTGG